AACTAGACCTAGACTAGACTCTGCTAAAAGCAGGACTGAACATGACCACACTTTGAATAACTGCTGGCCTTTGTTTGACATAGAGACCTAATTTTCACTCTTTTCACACAAATATTTACTTTCTGCAACATGTCACAGGCTAACAGTTGCTCTGATGAGGGGTTAATCCGTTTCATTCACTTCAGTGGTCAGGGAGTCATGCTTGAACAGTGTATTGTTTTATTCGATCCCATTCATCAAAAGCCTAGTGTCAAGTTACGTAATTTGCAAAAAGTGCCACTAAAGCTTTTAAACAAAGATTTAAATCAAACCCAGCCACTCAGGCACTGAAAATTATAGTGTGACAGTCGCCAAGATTGAAAAATTTAAATTCACTGGAAGTCAAAAAGAAGCCATACAACCAATAAGCCTCAAGACAATCAATCAAACATTCAAGAACTGTCATTTTAAATAGTGAAAGTACAGCTCTTGCTTTCCAATGTACAGTTCAGGTATGTTCATAAAGCGAGCAGATTTCTAGTGTGTTGTGGTAATAGAAACTGGCTAATTATCTCCCACTCAATTACAAATATTGATTGGGAGCTTGGCAGAAGCTGCAAGAATTACACTAATGGTCCAAAAGTGGTCCAAGCGCCATACATCAGCGTGTTAGAGACAGACGTGCTGCCAAGACACTGCAGAGGGAGAAGCTACAGGAGATAAGCTAAACGTTTACATGGGGTCTAAAGGGACTGGACACCTGGAGGATTGCACAACAGTATCGGGAAAATAGCAAGAGAGGGTGGACACACAATTAAAGTAATCGGTGAAACACTGCAAACTGGAATGTGCAGTGCTCTGGTCAAGTTGTGAGGCTCAGTTCTTAAAAAAAAAAAAAAAAAAACACAGTATGGTTATGTAATAAAATGTCTAAACAAAATGCAGTCAAAATTACTACAGTCTCATAAATAGAACAGAACTTACTAATATGATATAGATATGAAAAGGAAAATATAAGGAGCGAGTGTAGTCCACACACCAGTGCACTGTTAGCATGCCAGTTGTTAGGAGTGGCATGACAGCAAGACTCCGCTCTGGTCTCTGAAAGCTGTGACACATGCTTATAAATTAATTGTGGTGAATTATTACTAGTACTAGATACTAGAGCTGCATTAGGAAAAGTGACGAATAAGTTTGGACTACTTAAAAACTTGTTTTTCAGTAGAAATCCAGTACAGCATTATTCTTTTTGTTCTATTGCAAATGATAAAAATGAGGTATAGTGAAATTTATCTATAATTTTCCAAGATAGGAAAGTACACAAACACAGCCATACAGATGCTCGTTTCTTGCCTCAAACATTCTATAGACAAATTATGACTCTATAAAAAGCATTATTAAGCCCCCACAAGCTACCAATCCAACAAAAAGTCATGTATAAGTCAGTGGTAAACATTTATATTACCAAGTTATCTTTTAAAATAAACCCTAGATGATTAAGCGCTTGAGGGCTGAAGTAATTTCTGGCGGTTTATCTTGGCTGAGCAGCGCTTGTGCATGTATGATAAGAGCTTTTGTAAAAAATGACACTTTGCCTTCAGGTGTCCTTGTTGGCTGTCCTGTTGCCTTTAGGAGCCATCGTCTTTAAATGCAGCGTCTTGCCTTCAGGCTGTCAGTCAGTTTGTGGTAATGATTTCTGAGATGGAGGGGTTGTTTAGGCCATGTCGAAGCTGGTTGTAGAGTGGAGAGGCCTCGCTCTGGAGCCTGCAGCCGAATGACACTGTTGGCAGGTTGCTGATACTTAATAATGGTTCGGGAGATTTGATACATAGAAAAAGTCTGCAGCCTCGAGGAGACAGGAGCACCTAGTTGCAGATTTCTGAGTGGAACTGATTCATATCTTTGTGCATTTCCACCTGAATGTAGCTCTGTGTTGAACTCTGTCTGAACTTGGGAGTTGAAATCAGTTTTATGTATGCCTCATCTTTACAAGACTAAGTCCCCATATCCTGACGTTGTTAAGGGCTTTGAAATCTCCTAAAGAGGAAGTCTCGCTGATTGCATTTAGTTTAAAGTGGTCCCTCAGAGTTGGACAGCAGCTCTCTGAGAAGCTGTGATACTTGTTTAATTACATTTCCCTAAAGCACACAGTTAAATTAATTGTTTTCGGAGGCAAAACTCCATGGATCAAGCGGCGGGTACTAACATCCACACAATAATTTCTGATGCCCAATCCCACTGGAAACGGTGCGCGACGCCAAGAGCATACAAGACAATGAAGAAAGCTCTTAAAGTTATTGCCAAGTTTAATCATTAGCAACATCCAAGTGACTATAAAGCACGCTACCTTTCTCTCTGTCCATGCTCTGAGGCAGTGTTTCTCAAACTCAATTTTGTAGTGACCCATTTAGAAAAGCTAAGCTATGACTCTGCTTCAATCAGTCTAATTTAGCTTGTGTTTAAACAGCAATTCACCACATCATTTTATGCCAATTCTGGGATGTCAGACAGTATAAAAAAGACAATTTTCAGAAAAGAACATTGGCATTAGAAGATTTTTTGGTGTGATTAAATATGTGATTATGCAAATGTGACCTATGATTGATCCTCAAATCTGTTGTGAGGCAAAATTGACAGTCAACACTGCCATGGTAAGGCCAATTTTTTTAAAGATTTACCAGCTCACTATTTATGACAGTGAACAATGAGAGGAAGATGCAATGGCCAATGTGTATTGCATTGGCAGCCATATGGAGAACAAGGAATAGGCCACTGAATATACCACTGTGTTGTCTGACTCAATCTAAGTTCACGTTGAGAGATAGGAGGGCTAACCACATTGTAAGTACAGCTAACCAACAATGACATGCAGCCGTTTTTCTTCTATTCTTCACTATAGTCACTATATAGTTCCAGTAGGGAGGACATTAGTCATCTGCTGGCAGTTAGAAGTTTAGAAACTTTTAAATTAGAACGACTGGTATGGAACACTGAACTGGAATGAGAGTCAAAGAAAATATAAAGACACTTCTGGTAGAATACAGAAGTTGGTCAAACTATTTTTAATCAACACTTAACACTTCATCTTCATTGTCAGTATCAAAGGTACATTCTGTAACTTTTCTGGTGGATGGTCCGTCAAATGCTTTTCTTCATGGAGATGTTATTGCTTTGGTTTCTGGAATGTTTCACAGTATGGTATTAAACCTTTCTACCGTCATAGAGACCAAACCAGACCAAGTTACAAGTTAGATCTTTGGAGAGGTGACTGCACTCACAGTCAGAATGCCTGCTAGGTATTTTTGAGCAGCAGTAAAGCTACCTATAATTAAATAAAAGTAATATAGAGCTGTTTAATGTCATACTGTGGAACATTCCAGGCAGAGCAATGACGTACCCATAGAAACAAGCAAGAGATGGACCCTTCATCAGAAAAAGTTGCACAGTGCTCCTTTAAAATAATTCAGAATTAAATTAAGCACCTTAGTACATGAGACATTTACTTTCTTGAATCACAATGGGTCTGCATGTAGCTGAATCATTTGAGGTTGCCACATATCTCTTTGGAAGCGCCTCCCGTCAGTGGTGATGAGGATGAGGAAGAGGCTTGTTCTGTGCCCAGTCACCCTCATTCAAAACTCACAGTGGCAGGAAAAATGTCTGTAAATGTGTAGTGGGCGGAGGCTGACCACCGCTCCTCAGCCCAGCCAAAGGAGGGATTATCATCTCCTGACAGACCGTTTGAAGTGTGCGATCGCCTTCAGAGCGCGCCCAGCACAGAGAGGATTTGGTTAATTACAAAGTGCCACTCATGATCACCACAGGGCGTTTCTTTTCGTGTTCTTGTCAGACGCTGCAGAATCACTTATTATGAATGAGCGCGAGAAAAGGCTCCGTCAGGGTCAGCACCACAGAGATCATTAATAAAGCAGCCACTACATAAAAGACACCTTTACCTCAGCAGACCCGGAAACAACAAGTCTGCTTAGTCAGATTTCCAAAAATAGACGCAATATTACAGGGTATGGAGGTAGAAACATAAATGAGTAAGACGCAACAGCTGCTGGGTGAGAAATGAATGGGCTTAATGTAGTCCATTGTTTATTGATTGACTTTTACTTGAGGAGTCGGAACACATCAGGGAGAGTGATGGTGGGCATTTTAAACACTCACATGACCCCAGCACAGATGACTTTGAGGATAACTTTAGGGTATTACCTCCAAGGCAGTAAAAAGCAGATATATTTATACATAATAAGAATAGTCTCTTGACCCATTATTGTAAATACTACACTACTGTTGACAATATTGGAATGGTGCGTAGTGATGTTGAAAAAATTGTATTAAAAAACAAACTATGTTTTGTTAAAGAAAAAAAAAGAAAATCAATTGTTCTCATCAAAACTTTGGCCACTTGGTTCCTTCTCTCATTGATATTGCGCTATAAGATACAAACTGTCTGGGACAGTCACAGCCAGTTATTTCCAAATGGTTCACAACCAACAGTATGCCACAAACAAGTGTGCATTTTCTTTTATATGCTTATGTAGGTCTATCAGTCTATTTTTGTTAAATAGCAGCTTTTACATTGCACTACATGGTGCGCATGGCATAAAAAAAATAAAAGTCAGGTTCTGGCCCATTAGCCTTTCACACCAGCCTACATGTCAACACAGATTGAAATTTTACACTTACAGATTATTCCTCTGTGCTGATCTTTGTATGGTTTTATAGTAAAGGATCATAAAAGGCAAGAGTTCCCCCTCAGAGGAATCGTAGGTTTTTACTGTAATCCACCTGGTAGATTGTATTTTGAGATGCTTCTGGGCTTTGATAGTGAAAAGGGTGTGTGGGAGTTCCTTGTGCTCTTGGAAGGCAAAAGGTTTTTATTGTTTAAGATTGAATGTAATACAGTCAATAGGCTTTGGGGGCTTTATGGCCAGCATACTTTGGTCTAATGGATTTCCAGGACACTGCTCATTGGATGGCTGCAGTAAAGTGGATGAGTGGGTGTGTAGTACCTTTGTGTGTGAGACAGCGGATGCTCTGTTTGCTTTGAATGTCCCAAAGTCGAGCAGTTTCATCATGTGACCCTGACAGGAGAAGGGTCCCATCCATTGACACAGACAGGCACGTCACCAGGTTCCTATATTGCCAAAAAATATTAAGAGCTTGGTCAAGAGAGTGAAAATAGGTCAAAGAAAGACCAGAATAATAAAGGTCATTGAGGACACAGCAACCAAACAACCAGCTTTTACTGGACGTCCCCAGAGGTAAGCTCAAAAACTGGGGTGATCGGACTTTCTCTGGCTTTTAACATTCAGTAATGTATGAAACTTTGCACAATTTGTTTTATTTAATTTTTTAAAGTTTTAGTTGATTTTAATGTAAAGCACTTTGGTCACTCAGTGTTGTAAAGGGCTCTATAAATAAAGTTTGAATGATTGACAGATGGTAATGTAAGACTCCATAATAAAACAATGATAATGAATATACGTGGCATTTGCAATTGTGATGCCCTTTACTAGTCTCTATTAAGATAATTTTTTTAAAGGATCTCCAAGAATGTCCATGACTAATAGAGTATGCAAAATGTAAATGAATCATGAAAATCATGTACAAAACTGAAGAGCAAAGCAGTTTTTCAATTCTTGGTTATTTAGCTTAGCACACAAAGGCTATGTATAGGTCTGTTTGTTTGTTTATTTATTTATAGGATCTTGTACCTGGTCACATGAAAAGGTTTCTTGTCATTTCAGTAGAATCCACTTTGGCTGTCAGAAAGTTTTCCCCATCCACCCTGCAGCCCCAACTCCAATTCACGGTGACTTTCTTATTTCACATTTTAGAGTGGCAAGAGGAGAGATCATTTTAGCAGTGTGAATAGTGTCCAAAAGGGTTCTACAAGAGCTCTAAATGTCATTCCATCTGAGAGACGCTCAAGGATTGTGTAAATAATCGAGACGTTACAGGCATACTGTACATTGTAAAGGTCCTATATCATACAAAATACTCTTGTGAGCTTTAAGCCACATTTTAATGCTGTTACCTCTTCAGAAACATATCTGGAGTTATGTTTTGTTTCATTCACACTTGTCTGAGTAATTCTGAATTATTAGTCTCCAAAGATCAAAATCCTCTGTTCCACCTCGTGATGTCACGACCCAGTAGCTTTCAAGTTAGCGGCTACCTTTTACTTTTTGTTCAGTAGATATTAACAATTCCAGGGCTGATCTCATCTAAATGATTCAAGTGAAAGTGTATGGAGTTAAAAAACACAGTGGACTACGTGACATCACAAGGTGGAGTGTTTTCAACCTATTTTATTATTTGCAGAAAAGGAGAGATACTGAAAAAAATATATAGGGTTGTCCACAAAATAATGGTTTTTAAAAAAGTTTCAAATTTCTTTCTTCCCTGTGTTTTATTTCAGTCTAACCCAGGGGTGGGCAAACTATGGCCCAGGGGCCATATGCAGCAGTTTAAACCTTTTAATCCGGCCCGCTGCACTGGAATAAATTACAATAATAAACCTTGTTGATGTTTTATTTTTCATGCATTTCCAGCATTTCCCAGTAGATGGTGCACTATATAAATATACATTGAAGTGCGGCGTATTATGTTGGCCGCAATGCTTTATGGGAAAGTGTTTTTACAGGAGTTATTCGGACCATGAGTGAAGTAGTGGTGTTCAAGATATAACCTTGCACTGCTTTTTAACTTGGTAAAAATCAAACACAAGGACTTTAGAAATGTTAAGTTATAAGATTTCACACACAAAATGTCTTAAGGGTCCTGCTGAATTGCATGTGACTTATTAGGGTTCTGTTTCTCAGTACAATTTAAATCCTCACACGTCACCTTCGCCTGTGGTGTGCAGTGGAGCAGATCTGTTGATTTTAGTGTGTTCCTGATTTTTCATGGCAATGTTGTAGCGCGTAGTGCACTTCCTACATAAGCCCTACATAAGCGAAAATACGAATATAATGCAGCTGAGCTCTTAACATGTCATGTTCTGTGTTCTGTCCGGCCCTTCAGGCAAATTTTAGGGCCCTATGTGGCCCGGGAGCCAAAAAGTTTGCGAACCCCTGGTCTAACCTATGAAAAAAATATTCCATGTAAAATATCAGCCTGATTGAGCTACCTCTAAATATTAACGAGCCATTTCACATTTGATTCATTTCTAAAACTCAAATACATTTTAACACATATTTAAGCATATTTCTGTTGGGTTGACATATCATCTGAATATTGTTAAAGGTGTATTGTGTAATTTTTTGGGGGGAGGGTCCATCAAATGATTTTCTCCATGGAGATGTTATTGCTAGCCCCGCTCACAGTCAGATTAGGTTTGTAAATATTACCCACCCTGATGTCTGTAATATCAGTCATTTCAGGATGATACTGCCTTTTGAGAATTAACACACAAACACATTAAACAAGCATCTTTTCATGTTTTGCTGTAATCTCACCTGTGTCCCGTGAACACCTGGTTGCCACTGTCCCCGCTCTGGAACTGTTTGTCCCGTGTGATGCTCTGAAACACACAGAGGCACAGTTTTCTTCATTAGTTTGCAGCTCCAGTATCGGCAGCCCCAGCGCTCCTCTGCTCCTCTCCTGCTCTGGCCTGCTGCCGGACCTAAATGCTTTGATCGATTCCCTTAATTGCATCAATTATAGATTTGGTTACATCAGCAGGTCTGTTGGCGAGAACGAGTCTGGAAGCACCAAAGAGCTTGTGTTTCCGGAGCCACACATAGCTATACACTGTTGATTCATCGCTAGGGACACAATCAGATATGAAGATTAATATTAGGGCTGTGGTCTTTAAGTCATTTATTCTCTTAATCAGCTGATGTTTTGACACTTTTTTTTTTGTTTTACCTTTTTAGTAGTTAACCAATTGTATTTAGAGAGATTTAAATGCACAAAAGTTAGAGAGAGATGAAGATCTGAGATTGAACTGTGACTTAATTCTGCCTTTTTTACATACAAATAAACAATTTGGCAGCACTTTTCTTGTCATGTTGGTTTAGGGTCACATTTAGCATCAAATATAGTTGGATCATTGAGATTTAAGTATTTAGAATGTTTTGCTAATGTCATACCCCATTTTAGTCAACTAATTGATGCACACAGCAGGTCCATAGTTGACTAATAACTTCTTTAGTTGATTACAGACCTAATTAATATGCATATGGTGAGCAACATAAGGGGGGTGTCGTGAGTAACCACACTTGGTATTCAATAACTGCAAGATAGGAAAGTATAATGCTATACTGTGAAACATGGCAGGAAAAACAATAACATCTGACCACTCAACCAATGGTGTTTATGTCAAGACCAGGATATTAAGTAATGAAGCAATGTGCATTCTGGATCCCAGCCAAACAATATCGTAATAACTCAAACTTTAGAACTTCCACCAACTGCTATAACTTTTTAGAAAGTGAGAGAACTTGAGAAATAGCATTTCTAAATGACAGTGTTACTTCAACTGACTCACAACAGGACAACACTATAACATGTAAAATACGTTTTGTCTGTTTCATGATCTACACATACCTATCTACCTTTCACTTGAATAACACTTCTAGGGACAACAACAGTACTACATCATTCAATATTTTCTTTTTGAAACATTACACACAGCTGCTCAATGGCTTGTAATTGACACACATTAGAACAATGAATATGCAAAACAGATAGCATAAATATCAAAGTGACATTCTCTGTAGCTTGTAATGACACTTTGGCCTCACACAATGACTGATGCTATGAAGGAATAAATCACCAAACACAGTGTCCATCAATGTAAACAGACGGCGATGATAAGAGCAGGTTATTAAAATTCACCACTACGGTGCAATTCAATGGTTTGTGTCCATCAGTGGGTGACAGCAGCAGCAGTGATGATGCAGTAACCCGTAGCGACCTATGGCTGCTTGTTGCCGGTCGACTGTTCACTGATAAACTCGTCACAAACACAGAGGCCCTGGAAGCTCCGGGATCAACTCTGCTTGATTAGGTGGAGAATCGGGTTTAAGCGGGTGAATGAAGAACACGTCTCTCCAGGTATAAACAACTTGAACTCTTAAAAAGGTGAGAAGAAGAGAGTGGATAATTTGACAGCAAAGTAAAAAACATCTTGAGGAGGAAAGACAGACGACGAATACGCATATTTTTATTTGTCAGAATGTTTTACGATCTGGAGAAGCATGAAAGCTGGAGATGTTTTGAGTTGCTTTAAGACATAAATCTCTTAAAACTCCAAGATGCTGGGAGCAACTTAGAGGATTGTTCCTTAGAGCTGGTGAACCTCATTTTCACTGCATAAGGAGGAAGCATAAACTTAAACTTATCCATAGGTTTCACAAAATATACACTTTTTATTACTATTTACTATAAATATTTATTTTTGATTAGACAATGGACAACCAAGAGTGTTAGACCCGAAACCGCACAAAACAGACAAACCACGAGAAATTTAACCAAAGCAAAACAATCCCGCAGCAAAATATTATATGTTATGAAGAGATCCAATGCTTTGATATCCCGGTAAGACCTTTGAGCTCAAAATAATCTTTAATTTGAGAAAAATGCATGGCTACATGGAGTATAACAGTTTCCCCACCTCTGTCTCAGTGCTCAATTCAAGTAAATTTGTTGAGTACAGTTCTATCAAATTATATCTCCATATGTAGAATTAGGAGAAGAATAAGTTTTATGCCATTCTCTGGAACATTCCAAGAAAATCTGGAACATGTTCATGGAGACAGAAAGGAGGCCTGCAATTCACCAGGCCATGTTACGTGTTTGATTTGTGAAAAGGCAAGCCCTTTGTTTGTAAGAATGCAAGTTTTTACAGGTTTTGAACGCAATAAAAACATATCTAAATAATGCTTACATTTTTTTTTTTTTGGCTGAGATGCAGTGGGGCGCAAGTCAAAAAGAAGTTTGCCAAAAATTTCTGTTGATGAATAAAAAGAAATTCTTGTGACCGGTCTCTTCAGTCCATTGTCTGCTAGCCTATTAGAGGAGATGGCTCAGTAGGGGGAAGTGGTTGAGACAAGACAGTAGGGGGCCAGGGCCATTGTGAAAATGCTGTAGGGGACAGAAAGCAGAACACACAGAAACTCTCATCTGTTTCACCAATGACCACATCCTGCTGGAGAGAAATGTCAACCATCTTTGATTTTAGGACTTGAGGCATATTCAGGGGAAGAAGTACAAAGGCCTGGTTGTAAGCGAGTGCACCTTAAAACTCATCATCTCCTCTTTCTCCCCTCCTCCCCTCCCTCATGAGCAGTTTAACAGTTCAGAATAAGCCTACTTTTATAATAAACTCTTATTGCGTCGGAAGGGCTTAACGTCTCATAATGAAATGCCAAATGCAAAGTAAGTAACACGTGAATGTGACATATCCTGACAATGTCACACATTTTAAAGCGAGAAGAGAAATGACATTTACAGAGCTGGTAAAATGGACTTAGAGTGAAGGGGACCTCTGGGTGACAGGGAATCTTTATCATAGATAAGAGTCCAAAGCAAAAACATGAACATAAAGTAAAGGACTTATCATTCAGATTTTTCCCTAAAATCAGATGTGCACTATAATGTGAGGAAGTAGTGTTGCGCTGTGGGGGGTACAAACAGATGTTCAGATGCACACTTCTAGTTTCAACACAGCAGTAGCAGGAGGACAGGTTCACATTAATTTATATTGGATGCTCTTTCATTCAACCCTCTGACCAGCTGGGCCATGGAATAATAAAGATCAAGAATATTTCACTTATTCCTATCAAACTGAAATAATTGAAAAATTATGTCATATACTGATACACCTGCTTCATATTTATTTAGTTAATAGTTGGTTTAAACTCTGTTTCAATGTACTAAAAGCGAAACATATGTATCACCGATGAGATATCCAGGATTGTGACCATAGCAAACAAGTCAAGTAGCATTTCCATAGTTCAGGTTGGGAGAGAAGAGCAGCTTTGAGACTGGAGGAGACAGTATCGGTGGCTTTAGAAATGAGGATAAATAGAAAGAAAGACAGTGTTTATCAAAGACGTTTGTTTAGGGGATTAGAACAGTGCTAAGCTCCGACATGCTAATCACCGTGAAAAAGAAACAGAAAGAGAAGAACTACACTGTTGACTAAAGAATGATATAGTGGAATCTTCACTCATCCGGCTAATTAGCAACCACAATGTCTTTCTATAGTTACAAGATCTAAATTGGTATTGCATACATTTTACAATAGCCAATCAACTAACAGACTGGGGAAATGGATATGATTTAATAAGACAAAGTTGAAAAATATACATTATCTTGGGAATTTAATACTACCAGAGAATGAAAAACTATTTACTACAGGGTAAGGTTGAGAAAGCTCACCTGGTTACATAGCGACACCTGGAAAATGTTACCATCACTACCGCCACAGAACAGGAAGTACTCTGAGGGGTCAAGGGTCACAGACATGATTGCTACATCAAACAGGATAGACAGCAGCATCTCCCCTGATGACAACTCCCACACCTGGAGAGAGAAAGGACAACAGAAAAAATGTTATTAACTAACAGTAAAATGCATAACAGCACAACTAGTGATTGATTTTTAATAGAGACATTACAAAAAAAATACATATATATATATATATATATATATATATATATAAATATATATTATATATATATATATCCTAATTTTTATATTGATACGTTAATAGTTAATATTTCGTATGCATAATCATATAACTGTAATGCTACTGGGAAATTATGCCTTTGTCATTGTAATTTATAGTAAAATAATGTAGATATGGAATGCTATTGTAGTTACAAGCTGCATATATTTTGTAATTTATTGGCCTAACGTTTTCCATAATAATAAATTGCCTTTACAGCAAGTACTTGAGTTTTCTGACTGTAAAAGGTAAAACAATATGTGTACCCTAACTGACAGAAAGCCAAGACTTTACTCAAAGGGAATCATTGTTATAGCATTATACCTAAAAAGCAGCTTCAGCTTTTCAAATATTACTATTTTCTATAGAGGGTTTTAAGTGCAAGTGGCAAAAAATGGTGACAAAATGTAATACAACTTCAGTGCCAAGTGACCTTTGACCCATGTTCAATTGAATACAGCCAAGACTGCAGAGAGAGGGCTTCTTTAGCAGACTCACTTAAAAAGGAGGATGATTTAAAGGAGAGGTATGCTGTAGCACCTTTTGGGCAGTGTCAAGACCCCACCTTACGCTGATTTATGACAGCTGGGTTTTACCAAATTAAAAACTGATCTGAGGACAGGGTGATTCCAGTGCTGATCAATGTCAGTCTAAATCTGTGTGACAGTTTGAAAGTGACACTTCCCTTTAGAGCACAGGTGTCAAACATGCGGTCCGGGGGCCCGATCCGGCCCTCCAAGACCTTTAATCTGGCCCTCGGCTGATTTTCTACTAAATATTAAAATTTTATTTTTTATTAAAATCTTGTAAATTTTCTGTGGTGTTTATCACAGCAGCGTCTCCACCGTCTCTGTGCGTGGTCCCTCCCACCAGAGCAGCACAAATGAAGACGTGTCTCTTTCCAAACGCTCTTAAAGGACGATCGTTTTGACCGTTGACCGTGACACCCTCATCAACAAAATGTCCAACATGAGAAAAGTGGAGCCGAGTGCAGGATTTTACAACAAAAATTTACTTATTCCTATTTCTACAAGTTAATTTTAAACAAGTTCTTGTTAAAACATTGTGTTGAAATTGTATTTTTCTTAAAGTTTCAGGTTGTTCATAATATTATAATATTTTGTAAAAGAAAGAGTTCATCAATTAAAAAAGATTTCTGTAGTAGATTTGTGTTTCTCTGCGCAAATATTTGAACTTATTGTTATTTTTGGGGTTTATATGCCATGAGTTTTCTGATCCGGCCCCTTTGGGATCAAAGTCTGTTGAATACGGCCCCCGGACCAAAATGAGTTTGACACCCCTGCTTTAGAGGAACAGTATGTAAGCTATTGATTTTAAAATTTCATAAACCGGACACATCTGCATGTCCAAGACAGAAGTAAATATTCTTAGTTAAAAAAAACATTAGACACGATGTGGCATTTATTTACGTTATAATTTGTTTAGGTTCAAAGGACGATTATCCAATCAGAAAGCAGAATCTGCTCTGCTTAGGTAAAGGCAACCCAGGATCAGTTGTGATTTTTTTTTTTCAAAATCAGTAAGAGCGTAGGCCACACAGAATTTTAAGTTTTTCAAGGTGCTCCTGCATCACCCTTAGCTTTAGCAATGCAACACTAACGGTGCCCTCAATTTTGACTAGCCCTGGTAACCGCAATATCTCTAGATGTTTTCAGATTAACTGCAAAACTGGTGTTGTTGTCAACAAGCGTTGTCATGGTGCCCCATTGAGCACTTTGGTTCTTACACAGCTTTGGCAACTTTCCTCATGGAGTAGAAGCCAGGAGAGACCTGCAGGCTCAGCTGGCTCAGTCTGTCCATCTACTGATCTCTGATTTAAGAGACAATTTCCAGATATCAGTGTCACCATGGCCCTTGAAGATGCGTTGGACTGCCTCATGGACCAAACCAGTGCAGTCCTTCCTCTCCCAGCTGTACAGAGACCATGTCTTATTCTTGCCCTGTCCGACTAAGAAGGAAGACTGTCCTCCTAAGCCAGTGCTTCTCAAATAGTGGGGCGCGCCCCCCTGGGGGGGCGCGAGGCTCCGTCAAGGGGCGCGTTTGACCTCGGGGAGCATGCTTTTTTATTTTTTTATTTGATTTTTTTTACTGTCTTAAGGGCCGTTCACACCAAAGCGTCAAAAACGCCTTGTCGCCTCTATTTGGAGCCTTTGCATTGAGTTTAGACGCCCCCGACGCGCATCTTTGACGCCGTGGACGAACGGGACAAAAATACTTGACGCGCGTCCGTTTCCCTGGAAACAAGAGCCCGCTCTTTTCCCGAAACAATGTCAGACCAGACTGAGAGAGTGTTTTTATGACATAAAACATCAGCGGAGGAGATCGGGTCAACGACTGGGGCGTATATATATTTATACTTCGCTAATGACACTGGATCAGTCCCGGTCTAGTCCTGGTCTAATACCGGTCTGATCCTGGACTAATCACGGTCAGTCCCGGTCTAGTCCTGATCTAATCACGGTCTAGTCCCGGTCTGGTCCCGGTCTAGTCCCAGTCTAGTCCCGGTCTAGTCCTTGTTTAGTCTCGGTCTGGTCCTGGTTTAGTCCTAGTCCGTTCCTGGTGTAGTCCTCGCGATCGGCTCGGTGATTGTGGCGTATATATTTATTCTCCGTTCATGTGGTTCTCTCTCTGGTTCTCGGGTCTTCTTCTGATAATAACGTCGCTGCGTCTCTGGATACTCGTCCCTGATTGATTGACGCGGCGCGTCTGACGCGAAAAGTTCAGCATTTTCAACTTCTGACGCTGACGCCTTGGACGCGCGTCTTGGCCGCTGACGCCAAAACGCTGAAGACGCTGCTGACGCCAGATTCGCGCGCGCTGACGCCGAAAATGCGCCGCAAAAACGCAGGACGCTCTAGTCGCGCGTCCACATAGACTTTACATAGAAAGTGGACGCTTTCACGCTTTGGTCTGAACGGGCCTTTAGAATAAAGTGCAATTGCACTTCCACTACATTAGGGGGCAGAGCGCTCTCATTGGCAGAGTGTGCGCAGGGCATTCGCTCGGTGGTGTAGGAGTTTTGTTTGCACTGAGCATGCGCGCTTTGCACACAGCACAGAGTTTGAGTATGAAGTGTAGACACGAAGTGTAGCAGACCCTCAAGTGACACCATGAAAAAATATTTAACAGGATGAGAAGACAGGTGAGAGAGACGGAGATAAAGAGACAAATGAAAATCTCACAAAAGCTAAGACGAGGAAATATGACGAAGCGTATGTAGCGCTTGGCTTCACTGTGACTACGGTGGGAGACGAGGAAAGACCGGTGTGCTTACTGCGTCTAAAAATGTTGGCAGCCGACAGCATGAAGCCCAATAAATTAAGGGGTCACTTAAATACATTACACCCCAATCACTCTGATAAGCCGTTTGAGTTTTTTCAGCGAAAACGTGCCGAATATTGCCGACAATCATCCCGCTTTGTGACTGCTACTTCAGTAAACCAGCGAGCGTTGTTGGCGTCATATAAGGTGGCAGTTACGCACAGGTGTACTTATAACAATTTTATAGACAAATGATACTATCTATAGTCACGCGGGGGCGCGAGATGTTTTATTCGTCCTAGGGGGCATGACAGAAAATAATTGAGAAGCACTGTCCTAAGCAGGAAGACTGTCCCTCTAAGCAGGAAGTCAATCACCCTAAGCAGAGGGTCTGACCCATTGAGGGGGGAGTCTGTCTCACAGAGGAAGGAGTGTGCTGTCCCAGAGCCCCCTCAGTCCCAGGATTCATCAGAGTCCTCTGAGGAAAGGTGACAAGAAGCATTTGTACAGTTTACTCTTGCTGAGGAGATGATGGGTCATTGACGTCCTCAATCATGAAGATAGAAGAACCAGAGTGACCGCATGGCATATCCTGGTAAATATGCACAGGAGTGTCCTGGTACAAGCATACAGGAGTAATTGAGCATTGGTGCACGTAGGCAGGAGTGCAGTGACCACTCTGAAAACTGTGCTGTGAATCTTCTTCACAGCCCTCTGGACTGGGTCTTTCCACAGGGGCAGTCTCTGCTGGAGGTGCAGCCATTTGGTCATACTGCCAATGAACGTGTCCACCTCCTCACACTCGTCTCTCCTGTAGAGTCTGCGGCCCTCATGTGGAGATAGGCTCTGGGAGATAGATTCGGTCAGTTGCTGGCTGAGCTCTGTGCACTCTCTCACAGACTGCTCCCCCACCTCTAGGTCTTCAGGTTCTACTCGGGCCAGCTCTTCCAGGAGGGGAGAGGCCACCTCCTCCACCTCCAGTGGGGAAATGTCTTTGCGTGAGGCCGTCCAGCAGCTCAGTTAGTACATTAAGTTGTGGAAAATGACTTTGGCGAAACACAGCGCAAAGAGTTTCTGGCACAGTTCCTTCGACTGGGCTTCCTCCTTCCTTCAGAAGACACAGGTCTGTTCTCAGCTCTGCTGCCTGAACAGGAGTCTAAGTGGAGGCCCATCACCCCCAAAACGACTGAGGCCATAGATGTGGTGGTGTCATCACGATGCGCGCTCAGCTGCCCCAGGAGCTCCTCTGGGTGATCACTGATAGACAGGTGTTCTTTTACCTCTTGCATCTTTCTCAGCTCCTCCTGGAGGACTTCCTTCATCACCTCAGTGGCCTCAGACAGACTGCAGGTAGAGCCAGTGTGACCGGACCTGACTACTGGGGACTCTGGGCTTGTCCCTGGGGGACAGCAGGGGCACAGTTCGGCTCTGAGCAAGTGAAGTCTGCTGCAGGGAGCCGTCTTGCCTCGATCTGCCCCTCTGGCTCTGAAGCTGTACCCTCCACTGAGCACTGCTCCTCCTCTGATTGAACATGGCCACATTGATGGAGTAGCTCATCTCTCACTGCAAGGAG